TTTCAGTTCATACACTGTGTTTGTAACTGAAGGTGGGGACGCCAGACAATCTATTTCGTGATCATTTTCTAAAAATAGGAATTTGTAACAGCATGTTATTGTATATTTCAGTAATATTCTTCGAGCATTTGTTTATCATAGATTGTATTCTTGTAACAAATTAGCTTGTTAGTGTAACTAACCAAATAGTATCATACACGAAAATACTTTTTCTGACAAAAATTGATTCTAATATTTGTCGTACCAAAGTCAATGTCAACTTTGAAAAGAACTTTTTTTATTGCTTATGAAAAACTTTTACTAACCAGAAGACTTTGTTGTTGTTGAAAGCGACAAAATAGGTTAAATGAAACCAATTAACAATACATACCTCTTATACTATTAACTTTTGGCTCATGATGCATTGGTGTCACTACTCTGTTAAATATTGCTTGCCTCCATGATCCTCTTCTCTTTGGTGAGTACTCATCATGTGGATACTCAGCCATTTGTCGCCTACAATGAATTATAGTCAACAGATAGAAAACAAACAAACCTGAATAAAGCAAAACAGTTTAGAATGTATTTAATTAGGCTTTAGAAAAAATAATTTTTCAGGTCAAATTTTGTGTGAATGGGACAGAAATTTCAATTCAAGGTTTATTCAATCCATCAACAGAGGACGCTGTGCAGTGCAGCATGCTGCCCAGAAACATCAATTTTAGCGGTTCATACTAATTTCCCCTACAAACTGACTAGAAAGTATTGTGACCATCATTACTGACATCACATTCAATTCTGTCCTTTCTTTACTCTGAGCTAAGCAACAATGGAGTACGTCATGGAAATAAAAATTCAGCACTAAATGCAACTGATCTCGTAGACTCTACTCTGCTGTAATTTTGGGCAAAGATGTATAATAATGAAGTTATCACAAGAATAATGCAAAGTATGCACTCAGGTGGTGGTTTTCTACAGGTTATACCCATTCTCCATACTGGAAATATTTGGCTCATTAACTATGTAAATTTACTCCAACGTCAAAAAGAATGAGGCAGGCATACTTATCACCGTGGCAACTATGATATGATAGAATATGTTAGGAAAACTGTCACCCACTGTTTGGAAATTAGCATATTCAAATTAGCAGCATGCTATTTTATTAGCCAATCATGATCAACCACTGATCAAGAACACGAAGTCCTTGTAGAGGGTACCCAGGTAATCAAGGTAACACTTAGTGTACAGAGGATGAATTGAACATTACCTAAGTATTCTTGCTGCAGGACTCCCACCATACTTTTCAGCATTCTCTTGTGGTGGATTTTTAAAATCAAAATACCGAGGACTTCCGGGTGACGTTGGACTTATAGGAATATCTCCAATAGTGCTGCTCCGTTTCCTGGGAGATGGCAAAGACATTGAGTCATCACTATCTATTGGTGACCTTGACCAGTCTTTACTGTTCTTTTTCAGTAGTCTAGCCGGTGTAGGCGGAGCTGACTGTGAGACATCGTCCGCTGATAGTGGTAATTCCATACCCATCTTAGATACCCCTTCATCCTTTATAAAAAAAACAAATAACTACAGCTATTAGACTGTTTTTTACCATTGTCAGATATAGGAGGGTACTGTGCCTAATTGTCAGATATGGGAGGGTACTGTGTACAATTGTCAGATATGGGAGGGTACTATGTACAATTGTCAGATATAGGAGGGTACTATGCCTAATTGTCAGATATGGGAGGGTACTATGCCTAATTGTCAGATATGGGAGGCTACTGTGTACAATTGTCAGATATGGGAGGGTACTGTGTACAATTGTCAGATATGGGAGGGTACTATGTACAATTGTCAGATATAGGAGGGTACTATGCCTAATTGTCAGATATGGGAGGGTACCTATGCCTAATTGTCAGATATGGGAGGGTACTGTGTACAATTGTCAGATATGGGAGGGTACTGTGTACAATTGTCAGATATGGGAGGGTACTGTGTACAATTGTCAGATATGGGAGGGTACTATGCCTAATTGTCAGATATGGGAGGGCACTGTGTACAATTGTCAGATATGGGAGGGTACTGTGTACAATTGTCAGATATGGGAGGCTACTATGCCTAATTGTCAGATATGGGAGGGCACTGTGTACAATTGTCAGATATGGGAGGGTACTGTGTACAATTGTCAGATATGGGAGGGTACTATGCCTAATTGTCAGATATGGGAGGGCACTGTGTACAATTGTCAGATATGGGAGGGTACTGTGTACAATTGTCAGATATAGGAGGCTACTATGCCTAATTGTCAGATATGGGAGGGCACTGTGTACAATAGTTAGATATGGGAGGGTACTGTGTTTCAATTGTTAGATAGTGTACAATTGTTAGAAATGGGAGGGCACTGTGTTCCAATTGTCAGATGAGTGTGAAAAAGTGAAGAGAAGAGCAAAAAAACATTGCAACTGACTATTGAGCAGTGATAAATATTGATACCTGATCAATT